GAAAAACATGAAATGTTTATCGTTGCGGACTGAAATTTCCAAAACTTCGGTTTGAAAATGAAGATTCTCATTTTATCGATTCTGGAAATTTGTTGGAAAATTCGAAGACATGAAGCCGAAAATAGCATCTACAAGTGGAATCTAGAAGAAAATGTCTTCAGATATTTTTCCAAGGGTGCTCGAAAAGCGGTAAAAAATTCCTATGGGGTGTATTAATTATTATCATAATTGAGATTTTTGAAAAACTGTAAAAAAAAAATCTCAAGAAATTCTGAAATATAGATCTCGACCAGCTGATTTGAAAAACATAAAACAATCCATTTTATCCAATATTTTAGAAAGAGCGTATAAAATTTTCCCGAAATTTTAAGAAAACAGTAACTTTATAATTATTAGTGTAACATAAGTAGTTAATGTACAAACGGCAGGAATTGAAGAGGTCATTTCAGAAAATTATGATTTTTTTTGTGTAAATAACTTTATATGACTCCGAATTGAGTTTTTACCCAAAACGTCCAGATTTTCGGAAAAAAAAATCAAAATTATGAAACAACATTCTGCCATTTAATTTTAAATCTGCCAAACCGAATGCTTTGAAATCTTGCAGATGGTTTACAGTTATGATAAGCATGGTAAATTTTTACAAAAAATGCATTTGCTTCTCTCCCCTAAAAAATTGATGACGTCACCTCAAAATTTTGCTGAATAAATCCTATCTTAAATGCGCAAAATATGATGAGTCTGTAGTTGTGATATATCATTACATTCATATTTTTTGGATTTGCATATACAGGGTGACTCAAAAAAATTAATGAAAGCGTGGATTTATTTTACTGATTTAATCAGGAACTACAAAACCGAATGCTTTTAAATCTTGGAGATGTTTTAAAGTTATCACAGGCATAGTAAATTGTTAGTCAAAATGTATTTGCTCATTCCCCCTAAAAAATTGATGACGTCATCTCAAAATTTTGCTGAATAACTCCCATCTTAAATGTGCAAAATATGATGAGTTTGTAGTTGATTCATCATTCCATTCATATTTTTTGGATTTGCATATACCGGGTGACTCAAAAAAATGAATGAATGCCTGAATTTATTTTCTTGCTTTAATCAAGAATTGCAGAACTGAGTACTTTGAAATCTTGCAGACGTTTCAAAGTAAACTTGTTTATTTCGTCCAAAAAATTTACGACGTTATCTCAAAATTTTGCCGAATAAATTCCACCCAAAATGTGCAAAATATGATGAGTTTTCACTTGTAATTCATCATAGCATTCATATTTTTTACTGATCAAATTAAGAACGAAAATGTGAAAATACAAACATCTTTATTTAATCAGAATTATAATAATGACATTCTGAACATTTTGTCGATTGTAGCTTACCCGTTAATTGTTTTGATCCTCTGTTTTGAGGGGACGAACTCATTCAAATCAAACTAAATTCTACGTGACATTCTTCCGATGTATAAACATAAACACTTGTTTTTCTTATCGAGGATAACCTAAGGGCGTACAGTAATGGAATCCATTGGGCAATTTGTTACTTTCAAATTTTTTCGATATTTCATAACCCCTACACAAGGCCGTAGCTAGGGGGAGGCTAGGGATGCTCATCTAGATCTCATAATTAACCAAACGTGAATTACAACATCCAAAAATCGAAAAAATGTAGTGTTTTATTCAATAAACGGAAGTCAAAATATGTTTTAGTTGAGTTTGTGTTTCACCGTCACGTCTACAGATTGATAAGTGTTATGGATATTTGTCTCAAATTACAAGTACTATACAGTGTGTTCCTTTTATCTGTTCACGTCTGACAATTTTTACATAGGCAACATATCATACACACCAGAGACTACTTCGCCCGATAATTTTTTTTTTTTAATAAGCAGTCAAAGCAATCACAAAAAAAATTACAAAGATGTCAATGCCAAATAATGACAAAATTGAAAAAATTAATACTCAATTTATTTTAAAATGCCCCGCTACAAAAGTGTAGTCACGTTTCCGACAGCGAGGGAAGTACTGTCTAAACTCTTTAGGCCAATTTTTTTGTTTATAATTGCAACAAAACCTAGACAGCTTCGGTGAGATTCTTTTTTAATCACTTCTATGAGACCAATTTGGGAAAAAAAGAACGTCTAGAATGCGAGCGCAGCGAGCACGTTCAGGTATAATTTAAAGAATCTTTGATTGGTATCCCCGAGAAGCTAAATCATCAAGAAAACTTTTTCGTTATTTAAAAATATGAGTTTAAACATTGTGATCACGAATGTCCAAAGGACTATAACATCCCGAACGTGCTCGCTGCGCTCCCATTTTAAACGTTTGTTTTTTTTTATAAATGCAATAAAACCTGGACAGCTGCCCTGCCAAAAACCAAAAATTGAAGAATCGAAAAATCGGAAATTCGAAAAAGGACAAATCCAAAACCTGGAAAGTCAAAAAATCCAAAAATTGAAATGTTTAAAAATGTCAAAATCGAAAAGTCCAAAATTCGAAAAATCTAAAATCGAAGAATTGAAAAATCTGAAATTCGGAAAAGGCAAATCCAAGACAAGGAAAGTCGAAAAATCCAAAAATTGAAATGTCTAAAAATCGGGAAATTTCAAAATGGAAGTCGAAAATTTGAAAAATCAAAAATCGAAAAATTGAAAACTCTTAAATCAAAAAACCCAAAAGTCGAGAAATAGAACAATTGAAAAATCGAAGCAGAAAACTCCATAAATCGACACATCGGAAAGTCGAAAAATCGAGAAATCGAAAATACGAAAAAAAGACAAAGTCAAAACCTGGAAGGCCGGAAAATCCAAAAATCGGGAATTCGAAAAGTGTAAATGTCCAAAAATTATCAAGAAAACTTTTTCGTTATTTAAAAATATGAGTTTAAACATTGTGATCACTAATGTCTAAAGGACTGTAACATCCCGAACGTGCTCGCTGCACTCACATTCTAAATGTTTGTGTTTTTTTTTTATAATTACAATAAAACCTGGAGAGCTGAACTGAGATACGTTTTTAATCATTTCTATGAGACCAATTTGGGAAAAAAAGAACGTCTAGAATGCGAAAAATATAAAATCTAAAAATTGAAAACTCTTAAATCAAAAGTCGAGAAATAGAACAATTGAAAAATCGAAGCAGAAAACTCCATAAATCGAGACATCGGAAAGTCGAAAAATCGAGAAATCGAAAATACGAAAAAAAAAAAAGACAAAGTCAAAACCTGGAAGGCCGGAAAATCCAAAAATCGGGAATTCGAAAAGTGTAAATGTCCAAAAATTATCAAGAAAACTTGTTCGTTATTTAAAAATATGAGTTTAAACATTGTGATCACTAATGTCTAAAGGACTATAACATCACGAACGTGCTCGCTGCGCTCCCATTTTAAACGTTTGTGTTTTTTTTATAAATGCAATAAAACCTGGACAGCTGCCCTGAGATTCTTTTTTAATCGTTTCTATGAGACCAATTTAGCAAAAAAGAAAGTTTAGAATGCGAGCGCAGCGAGCACGTTCAGGTTCCATGTAAAAAATTATTGATTGGTGTCCCCGAGAAGCTAAATTATCAAGAAAAATGTTTCGTTATTTAAAAATCATGAGTTTAAAAATTTTTCTTGTGATCACGAATGTCTAAAACCTTGACAGGGAGGGTTCGAGAACTATTATAATAAAAACTAAGTAACCTAACCGTTCATTGGTAGATGTTTTTGACACTAAATTAATTTAACAAAAAAGCATTGAGAATGCGAGTGCAGCGAGCACATTTAGGTGTTATACAAAATAATTTGTCGGTGTCCCTAAGCTAAATTATTAATGAGGGAATTTTTTAGTGTCAAAAAAAGTAAATCTTGAAAATGTGCTCGCTGCGCACGCATTCTAAACATCTTTGTGTGTGTTCTTTTTAAATCTGCAGATTTGTTATCATAACTGAACCCAAACAACTCCGCTAAGACATTTTTTGGGTAGTTTTGGGACTAAACCTCAACAAGAGAACGTTCAGAATGCGAGCGCAGCGAGCACGTTCTTGTTTTTATTTAAAAAAGCGGTCTAAATTTATAGCATTTCAAGGAAAATGGGGTGAGCCGTTCGATTAATAAAATAGATAGGAATAACGATGGCAGTTTTGACACACTTAAAACCCACAAAAAGTACTAAATTTAATGACCTTGAAAGGTCGGTACTTCGTCCTAACCCTTCTAGGTCTGTGTTCCTCTTTCTACTACTAAATTCAGTCAAAAAAACAACTAAAGCTAGTCATAGTTGTACAAGTTTGCACGTCATTAGACGTCATTGAAATTAAAGTTAAGTGACTTTTTTGACGTAAATGTCATTAACTTGTCAACTTGATTAATAGTTCTAAAACAATTAAATCCCCCAGGTCCAATTGTAGATTTACACGGGTGCCTACGTGGGCCCTAAAGATCTGACGACGGACCTGCATCCACGTCAACGTTTAACGACTCCACAACAATTTAAATCAGGTTTTTAAAACGAGGAAGAACGAAATTTGGGAAGTGGTGTCTATGTGATCATTATTATGAGCGACAATTTGCAATGCATTCGACAAGCTAAGTAAGCACCAGATGTAGTGCGCTTTATAACAGTAAACAATGTATTCTTTTCCATTACACAATTTTGGAGACTGTGAATCATGAAAGAAAACAAAGAAAAACTGGTTCACAGTATGGAGATGATTGGGAGCTTGTAAATCTGGTCACTAAATTTATACACTTATCACTATGAAATGCAGGCTTGGTTTAACTAATCTAGTGCAAAATGACCAAGCCCACATCACCATATTTTGTTTAATCTATGCATGTGTGGTTTTAAGGTTATACTAATCTACCTGGCAAAAGTGAACCACGTCTGCAACGTAAGGTTGTGGCACGCGTTTGTGGTACCTGGGGTTGAGTAAAACCCGTAAAGCGCTTGATTGTGGCCCCCTTTGCCCGACTTGGTTCACTTCGCCCACCGACACACATGCACAAAGTACCTCCTCGTATCCTTTCTCCTTCAGCAGCGCCTTGTTGAGGGCCTCGTACGCGTCCTTATCACTCAATCCGCCCGTGATACTCTGGAGGAACTGGTAGCTGCGCTCGAGTTTCTGCAAAATTCAAATTTGCCGCCTTATTTGACAGTTGACAGGAGACGGGCGAGAATCGTAATGGCGGACAAAGCACCATCGACACTCGACAAAATCGCCTCCGAAACTCCTTTACCTCCTCTAACTCGTCTTTCGACTCCACGGCGGACGTGAGGAAGAGCCGCGACATCTTCGTCGGCTTCACTTCCATGGGCTATTTCGGTTATTAACGGCCACTAGAATTTTCGCACTGTTGACAAACACGGGAGGACCTGCATCGTCCCATCCTCGGAAAATGTTTGTGGAAATCAAGCGCGCATTGATATATACGTAGTGCTTGGGGCGGAAACGGCCGAACGAGATCGGAGCGATCCGACTGGACACATTTTTCGATTGTCGTTTGAATTTTACGGGCTTTTAATGAATGGGTTCGTGGGAATTTGACGGAAAATGGGAGACGATTTATTTTTGCGCTGAGTGGTTAGGTTATAATTTTTTTTTTTCATTTATTTATGGTAATTTGGTGGGAGTGACCGTGGTGGAAAAACGGTGATTCGGATCAACTTCCAAAAACAGGAGGGGGTTGAAGAAAATTGAAAGTTGGACAGAGACGGACTCAGGATCGGGGGACGTCACATGACACGGGTCGAGTTGACGAATGTTTGCGTGGTATGATTATTATATCGCGTTTGTCAATATTTGTTTTAGGGTGTTAAATTGGGCTTTTAAAAATTCTCATAAAGAATGTACACAGTGTTGTTATGATTAATTAATAAGAACGCTGGATTTCTACAAAACTCTTTAAAAGTATGCACATTGCTTAATACGAATGTGTACACATTTGTAGACTACTCTGAACACTTGTTTTTAGATGCAATGGATTTCTGACAAATTTTACCAATCTAGTGATCTAGTAATATTTTTATATATGCAACGACTGAGTAGTCAGTGGTTCCTAGTTGAACATTGCGAAATATTCGTTCCACTTATTTTTACAAGCCACTTATGAATGGCTTGTTTGTTTCGTTAGTAAATAAACCAACTACGATCACATAAAGTGTAAAGTTCATCTTATTACAGTTTCATTAAAACCGTATAATGAGCATTTTCTGCTTTACATCTTAAAATAGCGATTCCTAGCCCACAATTAAATGAGCAATGTGATGACGCATGTCGTATATGGAATAAGAAACAGACAACTCGGTGATTTATTTTTAGTTCTCGATGGAAAACTGACTGCAATGTCAATTTTAGAGTAATTCGTGGAGTGTTTAAATTCGTTATCGATTGCAGTTCCATGTGGGGGCATTTTCTGGTGCTCGTTTGGGAAATATTAATAGGAAAAACACTGTATATTTTAGTCGGAGTGTAAAATAAATCACTGATGCAGTTGCAATTTAATTACGGAAGTTTTTAATCCCACGTAAAAGGGCTTTTAGCGATCATTATCAAAGTGAAAGGTTTGAATGGATTCTCGCTGAAAAGCTGTAGATTATTAACGATATTTTTTAGCTTTGTGAAGAGATGGATCTTGTTTTAAAAATAAGGGTTATTAGTTAATGGAGTTTAAAATTGCAGTCACCGGTGTAAGTGATACATAAGAGTTTGTTTTTAAAGCCAATTAAAATTTGGTCATTTTTAGAATGTTTTTAAAAATTTAATTCCAAAGCCAATATTTCGAAAGCTTGCTCCGGGACTATAAACACCCCGTATTTCTGGAGTCAGCGCGTCGAATTCTAGATCCTTGAATTTTTTCGGAATTTTTCGGCAACTTTTTCAAAAACAAAATTTTTCAAGTTCTGTCCTGCTTTGAAGATCGATGACGCATCTAAAGTTGAAAATCACAGACAGATCCTTTAACGCCCACCCGCCCTTTATTTTTTTAGAGGATATGTGATTTGGCAAAATCAGTCTTATCTTAACAAATACTAGACCTCCGTGTCGAAATCTATATCCCTGAATTTTTTGGAATTTTTTCGGCAACTTATTCAAAACCAAAAGTCGAAAAACAGAAAAATGGAAAATTCCAAAAATCGTCAAATCGAAAGTAGAAAAGTATAGAAATCGAAGAATCGAAAAATTGAATACTTGAAAAAAGACAAACCCAAAACCTGGAAAGTCGAAAAATCCAAAAATCGAAATGTCTAAAAATCGAGAAATTTAAAAATCGAAAAGTCAAAAATTTGAAAAATCTAAAATTGACAAATCCGAAAATCGAAAAATGGAGAAATCGAAGAATCGAAAAATCCAAAAGTCAAAAAAAGGCAAATTCAAAACCTGGAAAGCCGGAAAATCCAAAAATCGGGAATTTGAAAAGTCTAAATGTCCAAAAATTGAATAATTGAAAAATTGAAAAGTCGAAAAATCCAAAAATCAAAAGAGAGAAAAACCCGAAATTCAGGAGTACAAAAACTTTATAAATCAATAAAAACGAAGTCAAATAATCCAAAAAAAAATCGTAAAGTGGAAATATCAACAATCCAAAAATCTAAAAATTGAAAAATGTAAAAATCCAAAATTCGAAAAATCGAACAACCGAAAAATCGGAAAGGCAAATTCAACAGTGGAAAGTCGGAAAATCCATAAATCGGAAATGCGAAAAGTCTAAATGTCCAAAAATTGACAAAAACTCAAAAGTCGAAAAATAGAAAAATCTAAAATCGAAGAATTGAAAAATCTAAAATCAGAAAATCCAGAAGTCGAAAAATAGAAAAATTAAACAATCGAAGTAGAAAACTCCAAAAATCGAGAAATCGAAGAATCGAAAAAGTTGAATAAAATGCAAATTCGAAACATGGAAAGCCGGAAAATCCAAAAATCGGGAATTCGAAATGTCTAAATGTTCAAAGATTGAATAATCGAAAAAAGGAAAAGGTGAAAAACCCAAAAATCTAGAATTTGGAAATTGCAAACTAGAAAAATCGAAAATTCGGAAATCAGAAAATCCAAATCTCAAAAATCCAATACCCAAAAATCGAAGAATCGAAAAATCGGAAATTCGAAAAAAGACATCTAAAACCTAGAAAGTAAAAAAATCCAAAAATTGAAATGTCTAAAACTGAAATATGAAAAGTCGAAAAATAGAAAAATCAAAAAATAGAGAAATCGGAAAGTCGAAAAATCGAAAAGTCAAAAAAAAAGGCAAATTCAACATGGAAAGTCGGAAAATCCAAAAATCGGAAATGCGAAAAGTCTAAATGAACAAAAATTAAATAATCCAAAAGTCAAAAAATAGAAAAATTGGAAAATCGAAGCACTCCTAGAAATCGGAAGTCGAAAAATTTAGATATGTAAGAGTCGAAAAATCGAAAAGTCGAAAAAAAGGTAAATTTTTGGACTGGAACGCCGGAAAATCCAAAAATCGGGAATTCGAATAGTCTAAATGTCCAAAAATTGAATAACCGAAAAAAGAAAAGTCGGAAAATTCAAAAATCAAAAAGACGAAAAACCCAAAGTCCAGAAGTCCACAGTTTTGATAAATCAAAAAAACGAAGTGAAAAAATCGAAAGATCTAGAATTTGGAAACTGCGAAAAATCGAAAATTCAGAAATCAGAAAATCCAAAATTCGAAAAAAAGAAATCCAAAACCTGGAAAGTCGAAAAATCCAAAATTTGAAAAATTTCAAAATTGAAAAAGTCGAATACGTGAAAAATTTAAAATCGAAAAATTGAAAAATCGAAGTAGATAAGTCCAAAAATCGGAAAATCGGAAAGGCGAAAAATCGAGAAATCGAAAAATCGAAAATTCCAAAAGTCAAAAAAAAAGAAATTCAAAACCTGGAGAGTCGGAAAATCCAAAAATCGGAATTTCGAAAAGTCGAAAAATTGAAAAATCGAAAAAGAAATGTCAAAAAATCCAAAAAACAAATCGTAAAGTGGAAACATCAAAAATCCAAAAATCTAAAAATGGAAAAATCTAAAAATCCAAAATTCCTAAAATCGAAAACCGTAGATATTAGGAAGTCGAAAAATCAAATAGTTGAAAAATACATAAATCGTAGCAACGTAAAAGTCGAAAAAACCAAGTCACAAATCGGAAAATCGAAAAATCTAAAAAACCAAAAATTATTCAAAAATCAAGAAGAAAAAGGTCGAAAAATCCAAAAATCGAAAACTTAGAATATCTAAAAATCGAGAATTCGACAAATCTTGTGGAAAAATCCAAGTCAAGAACCCAAAAATTTAGAATTTGGAAATTGCGAAGTCGAAAAAAGAAATGTCGAAAAATCCAAAAACCAAAAATCGAAGAATCGAAAAATCGGAAATTCGAAAAAAGACAAATCCAAAACCTGGAATGTCTAAAAATCCAGAAATTGAACTGTTTAAAAATTTCAAAATCGAAAAGTTGAAAATTAGAAAAATCTAAAATCGAAAAATAAAAAAATTGAAAAATCGAAATAGAAATATCAAAAAATCGAGAAATCGGAAAGTCGAAAAATCGAACAACCGAAAAATCGAAAAGTCAAAAAAAAGGCAAATTCAACACTGGAAAGTCGGAAAATCCAAAAATCGGAAATGCGAAGTCTAAATTTCCAAAAATTGAAAAATCCAAAAGTCGAAAAATAGAAAAATTGGTAAATCGAAGTAGAAAACTCCAAAAGTCAAGAAGTCGGAGAATTGAAAAATTGAAAAATGTAAAAATCCAGAATTCGTAAAATCTAAAACTCTAGATATATGTATATCAGAAGTCTAAAAATCGAAAAATATAAAAGTAAAAAAAAACAAAAATCAAGAAAAAAAAAGGTCGGAAAATCCAAGAATTGAAAAATCGGAATGACTGAAAATCGAGAACGATAAATCTTGTGGAAAAATCCAAGTCAAGAACCCAAAAATCGAAGAATCGGAAAATCGGAAATTCGAAAAAAGACAAATCCAAAACGTGGAAAGTCAAAAAATCCAAAAATTGAAATATGTATTTAAAAATTTCAAAATCGAAAAGTCGAAAATTTGAAAAATGCAGAAGCCGAAAAATAGAAAAATCGAAGTTGAAAAATCAAAAAATCGGAAAGTCGAAAAATCGAACAACCGAGAAATCGAAAAGTCAAAAAAAAGATTCAACACTGGAAAGTCGGAAAATCTAAAAATTGGAAATGCGAAAAGTCTAAATCTCCAAAATTGAAAAATCCAAAAGTCGAAAAATAGAAAAATTGGAAAATCTAAAATCGAAAAATTGAAAAATCTAAAATCAGAAAATCCAAAAGTCGAAAAATAGAAAAATTTATCAATCAAAGTAGAAAACTCCAAAAATCAAGAAATCGAAGAATCGAAAAATCGAAAAATCGAAT